TCAAGTGTATCTTGACCTTTTCAGGAGCAGGTGAGGGATGTCCACAACTACAGCAGCTCCAGAGGAAGGTCCCCATCAGTGCTGTGGGATCCTGTGCTCCCTAGGGCTCCAGCATTCCAGCCCATCCCAAGAGGCAGCCGTGGGTAGGCAGCACCAATCTGCTCAGCGCACAGCATGTTCTTAATGAGAGCTGAACTGACTACAGAGGAAATTCCTGGCAATTTGTTCCAAGTGTGGTTGTTTGATGCTTCCAAACTGTGGGCCTGGACTAAGAGAATCCCTCAGCATCCCACTGGAGCCTGCAGTTCTAAAGCTGAGGCAGAGAAAGCCAAGAGTCTTTTCCAAACCATTCACCCTCATATGCCAGAACCCACTGCACTTGTTCCTTGGGATCCTCCAAAACACCCCCAGGTCACAAGGGGGATGAAACTGCCTTCTCATGGTGCTTTAAGCTCTGCACACTGCCTCTCGAAGAGCCCTCTCCTCCTCTGTTCACTCCATGGACAGAGGGAAGCTCCTTCCTGCTGTTCCCAGCCCAGCTGCTCTGGCAGTGCTCTGTTACCCTGTTATCCCATCATCCATCAGTGTAGGGCACTGGAATGGGGCAGATTCACAACGTTTCAGCTGCTCTCTGTTAGGGGCTCTAGGAATGCTCTCAGCCTGCTCTGGATTCTCCATCCATCAGGGGATGGTGCCTGACTGTCAATCCAGGCCCTACCTGAGCTCTGCATAACCTGCTCTGGGAGCCACATCCAAGGAGGAGCTGCCCTGCTCCTTTTCCAATGGCTTCTCCTTTCCTCCACACACTGAGAAACGGAATTGTGTCAATCCAGCCCCTTCTGCAGCCTCAAGCCAGGAGAGGAGGCAGAGAGGCTGTGTCCCTCCTCTCCCTGTTGAAATGAGGGAAAAACACGCAAAACCCAACAGGAATATGAAATTTGATGTACTTCGGGCCACATCTGGCCATAACATCACTGCGGCAGCATGTGCTGCACATTCCCCTGCGCCAGAGCTCAGCACATTCCCGAGAGCAGCACTATGACTTCAAGGCCCTGGAATTTGGGAAGTAGAGATGCGGCCTGTTGCTGCAAAGATAGGGGTGTGGGACTGCTCCACATGGCTGCCAGGCCTCCTCACTGTGCTGCACAAACTAATCCTGAAGGGCAGCAAAGTGCCGGAGGGCGTCCGTCAGGAAAGCCTCAGAAGGTGGAGCAGGGAGCTGTGCTCTTGTTTTGGCTACGTCAGATGGAAATGGTGGAGAAGGAAGAGAAAGGGCCACCCAACCACAGCACCACACAACCAGCTGTTTCTGTCTGTTTAGATAAAGCTAAAGGAAACCAAACAAAGGTACAACGTTCACTTACACCTGACTTCTCAGGTTAAATACCCCATACATTCCCTGATCCCTGGTTCCCAAACTCTCCCTTTCAGACCATTCGACACAATGCTGTCATCTCATCACACACAAACTTACAGTGAACTGCTCCAGCTCCTGGACCTCCAGTAAGGGACAGAAATTCCTTTTATCACTTACTAGAATTCAAGATATTACTGCATCTCCCAGCTCCCCAATGTGCTGGGCCAGGCAGCTCTGGAGCAGCCAGGACAGTGAGGGGTCACTGGTGGAACCAAAGCATTTGTTAAACCATCTTCTCCTTCAGAGCATGGCTTCTGCCAAGGGTGAGGGTGAAGGGTTTGGAGGAGCCACACCAGGAGCAGCTGAGGGCACTTGGTGTGTTCAGCCTGGAGCAGAGGAGCCAGAGGGGAGCCCTCACTGGAGGCAGCTCCTCCCGAGGGGCAGCTCTGATCCCGGCCTGTGAGCAGGGACAGGAGCCAGGGAAGGGCTGCAGCTGGGCCAGGGGGGTTTGGGTTGGAGATCAGGAAAGGCTCTTCCCCAGGCTCCCCAGGGAATGGTCCCAGCCCTGAGGCTGCCAGAGCTCCAGGAGGATTTGGACAGGCTGGCATTGTTGGGGTGTGTGTGCAGAGCCAGGGATTGGATTTGATCCCTGTGGGTCCCTTCCAGCTCAGGACATTCCCTGGTTCTGTGAGATCCCCTCTTCAAGAAACCCTAAAGCCTGAGGAGATGCTGGGATCCTACCTGGGTAACAGCAAGGAGAGACTCTGCTGAGCACTCAGAGCAATCTGCCGCATTGGCAGTGACACACATTCTCTCTCTGCCCAAACTCCATTTAGTACCAAACGACATCCAAAGCCTAAAACACCCACCAGTATTTTCACTCACTACTGCCTCAAGAGCAGCCCCTACCTTGGAAAGACTCACTTTGATGAGTATTTATTAACTCAGGAGTCTGATGGAGAAATCAATGACCCTTAATCAGACTCTAATTCAAACAAAGTGGTCTTGTCCTTATCTTTTATGCACAAACACCCCCTCACTATGTTAGGCATGACTGGACAAAGGCAAAGACAACCTTTGTTCAGTGTTCAATCATCAATAACGCAGCATGGGTGGGTAAAATACAGTTATTTGTGGTTTATTGTTGTTAAAGGAATTAATAATAACACATTCATCTGAATCCCATGTTAGCCTGGGTCCCTTTATCTCTAAAGGGAAACAGCAGGATTTAAGATTTAAGGTGCCCAAGAATCAGACAAAATTACTCAACAATTACTCTCTCATTGCTTTCTAAAAGAAAGTAAACAAATAAAAACATGATGGAAATTCTCAAACTACAAGAGGTGTGGAAATAGGAAACTTCCACTCACCTCGTTCTTAACACAAGCACCAGGGTGTTCCCTGAAGCCCAGGGGAGACAAATCACAGATGTAATGAACAGGTTAACCTTCCATCCAAATCTCCCTTAGCTTGGGAATTTCTTACCATAACATAGAAACTCAACTCCTGACAGGGGTCCAAGTGAGATACACAGAAAAATATTCAGAATATAAATTTACCCAAATCTCTAACAGTTCAGGGGTACAGAAAACTGTCCCTGGGGACAAGTTATTCTATAAAGCTTTGATCCCCTTTCAAGCCTTACTGGTGTCCCAAGTGCAGACACCTGCATTTTGGCTCTTCACAGAACCACAGAATGATTTGGGCTGGATCAGCTTGCCCCAGCTCTCCCCCAGCCATGGGCAGGGACCAGGCTGCTCCAAGGGCTGTCCAACCTGGCATCACCACCCAAGCTCCACCCAAAGGGGAGGGTTCTTGAGGGGAGCCCCAGCACCGGCTGGGAACAGCAGGAGCTGCACTTGTGCTGCTCCACTGCTGAATGCCAGCTTGGCAGGGATCCCCTGGGAAAAAGCTCTGCAGTGCCAGCCCTCTCTGGCCCCAAAGCCCCACCTGCCTCACACCCCTGGGCCTTGCTGCTCCTCCCTGCCCCTCAGCACACCAGGGCTGGCTCCTCACAGGGGACCCTCAGCTGCCCCCAGGGCTCTGAGGTCACTCCAGGCAGCACGGCAGGGACACAGGCTGACCCTCACTTCCAAGAGCCAGCAGAACAGGAAAGCAGCATTATCCAGCTGGCTGGAGATCTGGCACAGAGCCCACTCTCTATGGATGCACTGACTCAATGGAAAATATTAAGGGAAGAAGAGAAATCTCTTGATTACAATAGATTTAAAGAGGCTGCCCAGAATGCTCTCTTCTTCCCCTCTCCTCTGCCACATGAGTAGCTTCATGTGCTGATGAGGTTTACCAGGAAGGAATGTCTTGATCCATGACAAAAACCAGGCAGCATCTGAGGGTTTGCTCTGCAACCCTGCTGTGCCCTCCCTGTTCCCTGAGCCTCAGTCCTCAGTCCAGAGCCTTTACTCCCAACAACCCTGCAGCCAGAGTGCAAGAACAGCTCCAACACCACCAATGCCTGCCAGACACTGCAGCCTCTAACATCCCACCCAGGAGGATGAGCATCTGCACATTCCCAGGCACAACCAGAAGTTTCACTTTCCCCACCATGTCCTATCTAGAATGTGCATCATTCAGGTGAAGTGTTCCTTCCATGACCTGTTTCCAGGCATCTCCTGCTCTGGGAGGTCAGCTGCAGTTTAATGTTTCAGAGGCTGGCAGGGGGCATGGATCCACCTGAGGCTCTCCCCATCACCTCCCCATTCCCAACCCACCCTCAGCCTCTCATCCTGCTCCCCTTCCTCAGAGCAAACCACTCTCCTTAACAACTGACCTGCTCAGGCCTTCCTGCTTGATCCACACAAGTATAAATCCATCAAGAGCAGAGGGAACATCAGGCTTTCTTCTAGCTCACACCTCATTCCTTACACATCCCACTTTCCCCATCCCAGTATCTTTTATCTCCCTTTTTTTCTCAGCCCATTACCTGCCTCTTTTGCCCCCTCCTTTTTCAGATAAGCCTCTCCACACTGAAGTCAGCCCTGCAGAATATTTATCTACTAGAGGCTACAAAGAGACCAATTTATTCCACATATCTCACTAAACTCTATTTCTCCATTCTTATTGTAACTCCCATTTATCTCCCATTCTGGACTTTTCTGTAACCAGCCCTTTGTCTCATCTCTTTTATGAGAAATAATTTGTGCAACTCGTTTTCCTCACCCATTTCTTAGAACTACAGAACTGCACCATCTTGTACAAAACTGCACCATCTTGATTTCCCCTCGGAAAATCCCTGAGACAGGACATAGGGCACTTTTAGGGTGTTTGACCTGGAAGTCAGGCCGTGCCTCAAACTGCCTGATCCAACAGCAAAACACATTCCTCCTCATCCACGATTATCTTCTCTAATTTTTCAAGTTGTTTTTAGTTTCTGTTACAGACTCCAGGAGGAACTAGTGCCTAATAAATTTGTATTTAATTTATAAATACCAATTAATGGTATTGGTGTGTTAATCTAAGTGCTGCTGATAGGTCACTGCAAGGTTCAAGCCACACCCTTTATTCACTTTGTTTCTACACTGGTCACAAACAACACAAGTCAGTTCCTTGATGAGCAGAGAAGCTGAGAATGGGATAGGAGGGAAAGGGGAGGCTGGGAATGCTCTGCTCCAACGCCAGGTCTTACCTGTGAGAGCCCAGGGGACGATGCATGTCCCGGTGGCGTTGCAGCAAGATTTGGGTGTCCCTTATTTATTTCATGTGCAGTGTAAGGGGATGGGGCAGGAGGACCCGGTTGTCTTGCTACTTGTGTTACCTGTGTGGAGATAAACTGTTAGTAAAACATTACATTAGTAATCAGTCTGCTGAGACTCCATTGTACATATCCAGAGAGACAAAATAATATATACTTATCTAAGTGAAACACTGCACAAGTTATTTAACTATTTATGTGATTCAGGAAAGTGTGGAAGGATCAAAAAATCAGAGCACCAGCTGCAGTCACTGGTGGAAATGTGTGGGATCCCTCTGCCTTCAGGCCTGGGACCTTCTGATCCCTCCATGAGAAGCCATATCAAAAAATATTGGGATTTTGTAAGGGGATAGACATTACCAGCAACAAACTAAGGGGGAAATTTGCATATTCCCCTCCAAAAAGGAAAAATAAAGGACTAAGGAGAGGGCATGGTATCGGCAGGGCTTGCCACAAGCAAAGAATCAAACAGCAAAGCAAATCTTGTGTATGTTTATCTCCTTTCTCAACTTCTATTAAAAATGCTCAACAAAACACATTAAGCAAAATATCAGAAAAATGGTTTCATGGCACACAAATATTTGCTCCACTTTACTATCTCAGCGATGGAACTGTTTAAAATATATTTTAGAGAGTGGCTATAATAAAAAAAAAAGGGGGGGAGTCAAAGGCAAAAAAGAGTCACACAACTATTGGGTGACACCTCCAACTGCTCAACATAATTAAATGCTGGCAGGTTGGGTTAAAACGCACATTACTGAAATTCAGCATTTGCGTCTCACTGACCTTTTCTCATTTATTTATTTGCTGAAAAGCACTACTTAATAATGGAATGTCTTGGGTTGGAAGGGACCTTAAATCCATCCAGTGCCACCCCTGCTATAGCAGGGACACCTTCCACTGTCCCAGGCTGCTCCAAGCCCTGTCCAGCCTGGCCTTGAACATCTCCAGGGATGCAGGGGCAGCCACAGCTGCTCTGGGCACCCTGTGCCAGGGCCTGCCCACCTCAGGGAAGGATTAATCCCAATATCCCATCTAACATTCCCCAGTCTGAGCTAAAGGCACCTGAAGCTCACACGGATCACTGGCACTGCACAGGCCAACATGTGCATAAATGTCCCCAGCAGGGTAAAGAAGGCAGAAGGAAATTCCTGGCTCCTTTAATGGAGTATTAGCTCCAAGCTCCAAGAGAGCAGAAGTCACGGAGTTCACCATTTAAGTGCTTTTTCCAAGTCACTTTATTGCACCCAGAGTGTCCACGCCTGTCCTTACAGCTCCTAAACCACCAGAGCAGCTGCGCCAGCCCCGAAATCCCAGGAAATCACAACATGCAACAGCTCCAGGGCTTGGGAATGGGCCAGGAGCCTTCACTGTGGGAAGATTTACAGCCCCTGAGTGCTCATCAGAGGAAAGGGTGGGTCAGTCACAGAACCTCGTCCTGTGTCCCCAACTGGATCCTTCCCTTCGCCAGGGATGAATCATCTCTTTTTCGGGCTGATCTCTCTTGGCAGGTGTGCGCACGCAGCCTCGGCTGGATCACAGCCAGCCTCACAGAGAGCTCCATAAAACTTTCCACAGCCCATCCCCGAGAAAATGAAAGTCTATCCCATGACTCCTGTGTCAACCCTGAGAGAGCTGTCATGTCAGTCATGCAGCACTCGGTGCTTAGAAGTGACTATGGATTGTGATGGATATCAAATAATGCAGTCAGGAGGGGGAGGAAGCACAGGAACCCAAACCAGAAGGAATTAATTTCTATCCCCAGTGGCTGTGCCCATGCTCCTCACAATTCTCCTCGAATGGCACTTGGGGAAAACAGAGGTTATTTTGTGCCAGCTGTGGGACTTCAACCACTGCCAGTTTTCACCTCCCTACTGTCAGCAGTGCAAACACTGCTCCAGCTAAGGCTGGAGCCATCCAAAATTCTCTCATCCAACAGCAGCCAAGTCCACGCAGGGCTTTGACAATAGGGACAGGAGCACTACCAATAACCCAGGTCACTGTGAGCACCCAGCAATCCTCCTCCTCCTCAGAAATTACAACATGCAAGTAGAATTGTGGAACAGAATCCCAGAATCACAAAGGCTGGAAAGCCCTCCAATATCATCTAGTTCAACCATAAACCCAGCACTGCCAGGTCCACCCCCTAAACCACATTCCCAAGTGCCACATCCCCACACCTTCTAAACACTTCCAGGGATGGTGGCTCCAGCACTGCCTTGGGGAAAATAACCTAAGCTGCAGGTTACTGAAAGACACCAAGAAATGCTCTCATGATTGGATCTGAAATCTGGAAGCTGAACTGAGAGGAAAACTGCAGCTGCTTGAACGAGTCCATGAGATACCCTCGTGCAGTGCAGCAGACACATGACAGACACAGGTCTGGACGTACTAAAATTGGCTTGAATACCTAATAAAGGCAGCAGAACAATTATTTAACAAAAATTGTACCAGCTTGATAGCTTGGCAACAGCAAACATGGAGAGTATCCTGTAGGAGCATACCACTGATTTTCCAGGACCTCCTAAGTTTAGCCAAGTCCAGCTCAGAGCACCCAAACCAAGGACTGGTGTCTGTTCCAGCAGAAGGAAAAGCACAGAGAGCCTTTCTCAGCAGCTACAGCAATGTTGGTGCTTCCACACCTTCCTCTTCCTACAACAAATTATTTACAAATAAACTGAATTATAAGACACTGATTTTAATGTAAACAGGTAGACAAACTTGCTGATGAATTTGTGTGTTTTTTCCAGTAACTTTTAACAAAGGTAAAAGTTAGAGACTGTCTAAGCTCATCTCTCCTGGGGTCCCTGCCCCCACAGAGCCCAGGGTGTGGTTTGTTGTTTCTTAAATGGTCTGAGATGACTATGGAAGCAAATATCCTCCTTAAATCTATAGGTTAAGTTGTTCTCCTAAAAACTGATGTACAAAATTATGTATTAATTTGCTAGGGCATCACCAGCTACAGCAATGTTGGTGCTTCCACACCTTCCTCTTCCTACAACAAATTATTTACAAATAAACTGAATTATAAGACACTGATTTTAATGTAAACAGGTAGACAAACTTGCTGATGAATTTGTGTGTTTTTTCCAGTAACTTTTAACAAAGGTAAAAGTTAGAGACTGTCTAAGCTCATCTCTCCTGGGGTCCCTGCCCCCACAGAGCCCAGGGTGTGGTTTGTTGTTTCTTAAATGGTCTGAGATGACTATGGAAGCAAATATCCTCCTTAAATCTATAGGTTAAGTTGTTCTCCTAAAAACTGATGTACAAAATTATGTACTAATTTGCTAGGGCATCACCTTCTATTTTCCCTGAGTAGCAAGAGCTAATTTTAGTTTTCCAGAAGCCTTAATCCTGTATTTTAAAGGAAAAAGGTAATGAAATACAAAATAAAAACTCAGTCTGGAATTCTTGCTTTTCCTTCTGAGATCTTTTACACATTTGGGTTTAGCATCTCATACAGATTTGGGATTACTCTTTACCCCACCCAAGTCCCTGGTTTCCCTGTGGCTGTCCCATCCCTGAAGTGTCCAAGGCTAAGATGGACAGGGCTTGGAGCACCCTGGGATAGTGGAAGGTGTCCCTGCCATGGCAGGAGGTGGCACTGGATGGGCTTAAAGGACCCTTCCAACCCAAACCATTGCATGATTCTAGGTTGGAGCAGGATGAGGCACTGAGCTTCCCTCCTGCACATTCCACAGGCTTCGCACAGCCGGGCAGGGAGCGCTCGGCCTCCTGACCCAGATCTCTCCTTTGAGCACAGGGTGGCTGGAGCAGCTAATCCTCCCTAATCCCATTTCTACAGGATTCTCTTCCGTGCAGGAAGATCCCTTCAAAGGACACAAATCATGGAACCTCTGCTGGGTGTGAAACACTCGGGGGAACCCATGGGCACCCCAGGACAGAAAACCAGCAAACACCCCAAGAGCGAATGACAGCCAACCCTTAGTCCTTGAAAATCTGGGACAAGGGGGCTCTTTAGCACCTCACTGCCCCATCACCTCCTTTGCCCCCAGCTGGTGTGAGCTGGGCACCCTGACAGGACATGCTACCTGCTCTAAAGGCACAGGAGGACAGCAACTAATGAGTGCCTTCACGGAGTGTTGGATCCAGCCCCGCCACAGGGACCCTGCTCCGGGCTGCACCTGACCAGGTGACTTCTCCCCACACAGACACACCTTGTTAACACTCACTACCAATCAGTTTTCACCCAGAAGTCATTCAGAGAAGCACAGAATGGTTTGGGTTGGAAGGGATCTTTAAACTCATCCCATTCCATGGGCAGGAGCACCTTCCACTGGACCAGATTGCTCAGGGCCTCAGTGCTGCTCCTCAGCTCATGAGAGTTTATCCCAGAGTAGTTTTGGTCCAAGCTTCAGCACTTCCAATCACAACATGCTACTAAAGCAGTTACAAACCTCCACCATAACCTGCCAAAACCAGTTATTTGTGCAAAGACAGGATGTCCATGAGCACCATCATTCTTCTTATCCAATTCCAGGGCTGTGCCTCGTGCTGAATCTGAAGAGCGTGTCTGCTTCTCCTCATTAATCTCATTTTCCATAGATTCAGCCCCATTTCCCTGGCCACAGGACAGGGGTGCCTGGTGGGATTTACACTCACCTTCTGTGCAGTTCCCTTCCTGTTAGAGGTCTACATCTTTCAAAAAAACTCCAACCCAAAAAACTCTGTTGAATATATTTCTTTGAAATAATTTACAACAGAAACAGAATTTCATTCTTATGCCCCTTCTAAACTCTGCAGGTTTTGGATCTTTCAGAGGCCACACAAGTCATCACCCTCATTTCTTGCAGTATAGAGGATTTGGAAACACCAGGCAAGAAGTAGTTTACAGGACAACCCCCAAACCTTTATGTCCAAAAGTAGCTCTGCAATAGAGCATTCTCCATTACTGATAAGGGAAAATTATTACAAGGTTAGTTCATGGAAATAAATTTTTCTAACTGTGGCTTCCTTTGAATAATTTTACTGCTGGATTTATTTATTAAAAAACCCAAACCAACAACCCATTCAGCATAACATAACACAATAAATAAATAAAGATGACTTACGATGAATTTAGGTGGGTTTGGTTTTAATACCAGTATGATTTCCTTGATAAAGAGGTTCTACCAAAGCCTTGTTGTGAATTTTGAGCATCTCCAAGTTCTCAGACAAACTTCATCCCACTTGGCCTCTTCCTCACCTCCTACCTCTGTCCTACAGGAAAATTTGTCCCTCAGATTTGGTTTTATTATTGGGGCTCATAGTGGAAGCCACATGACTTTCCATCCCATTTTTGTAGCTGTGGGGAAAAAAAAGAGCTCTGGAATGTGCAACCAAGGTCCTGATAATGTGTGTGGAAAGGCACAGAAAGGATAACTGAATTGTTTTTTCTCTTTATCTGACTAAAAATTGGGGGTTCATCTGTGGGCTGTCCATATCTCAAGTGATTTCTGCTCCCACCCCACGCACGATGTACGGGAACAACACGGGGGCAGCTCAGAGTCACCACGTGGTGCTTAGGGACCCCAAAACTCTTCCCACACCAGCCATGCTCTGGAAGAACACTTCTCTGGAAGTGATGATCCATAATCCACGTGGGATCCCACTGAGAATGTGCAAGTAAATAAAACGCTGATGGGAAAAAGCAGCCCCTGGGTACTGAGGATGCACTTGAAGGTTGGATTTGAAGATCTTGGAGGTCTTTTCCAACCTTCAAGATTCTGTGATCTCCCAGTGCTCTTCAAAATGCCTGTTTAATGCAAACCCAGCCCTCAAACACATGGTGCTGTTCTTTGTGTAATAAACCAATGAGACCTTTCATGAATGAATTTGTCAAGGCACTCCCATCATGTGCTTTTTCCATCCCAATTCATTTTTCCCTGGACTCCCTCTGAATCTGAAATCTGCCTGGGGCTTCAAATGGAAGCCTGAAAGAACCCAGCCGAGAAATTTCTCTCCTTTCCCCAAAACATGAAATTTTTTCCCAAACTTTTGCATTCTCAGATCCTGGAACTGAGATATTTCCAGCCCTGTCTTCTATTCCTGTAACATAGCAAGGAGTGATATTTTTCTACACTGAAAAGCTATTTTAGGTAATTCTTCACAGTTACTTTTCTATTTTACATTAATTTAAATTTTTACAGTCATATTTTCCCCACAGGCATCTGCCTTATATCTTGGGAGGAAAAAAATGAAAAAAAACCCCATTCTTTAAAGGACTTCAGATATTTTTAAGTGTTTTTTAAGTGTTGTATGGGGTATATAAAATATAATACAAACTGAATTATTTATTATAAGTGTTTGTACATTTATGTTCACAGAATGGTTTGGGCTGGAAGGGACCTTAAAAGCTCATCTTGTTCCATGGCCGGGACACCTTCCACTGTCCCAGGTTGCTCCAAGCCCTGTCCAGGCTGGCCTTGGACACTGCCAGGGATCCAGGAGCAGCCACAGCTTCTCTGAGTATCCTGTGCCAGGGCCTGTCCACCCTCCCAGGGAAGGATTTCTTCAGAATTTGTTCCTCTGGTTTTGCTTTTCTGCACACAAACATTTCTATGTCAGGTATTGAGAACAGAGGGTGCCCAAATCCTGCAGCTCAGGTTTGTTGATTCACTGCTGTCAGCGCCTCAAACCTCAGAACTTCAGCCCTTGCCAGAGCTGCATCCCACCCATTCCAACTCACCTGGATGGGAACCCATGGCTCCCTGGCCACCAGACCACCCATGGCTACAGCTGTGTCCTTCTGCCCCTACAGCCACCTGAGCTGCTGCATTTCTGGGACCAACGGGCACCTGGCAGCAGCACTTCTACCCTTAATCCTGCCCAGAGCCCAGCTTAGCACCCCCAACAGCCCCAGCAGAGAAGGCATCACAAAACTCCTGGGCAACCCAAAAAAGGGAAGGGCTAAATATCATCATTATCATTGAACCATCATGGAATGGTTTGAGTTGGGAGGGACTTGAATCCTCCTCATCCTGTTCCACCCCTGCCATGGCAGGGACACCTCCCACTGTCCCAGGGTGCTCCAAACCCTGCCCAGCCTGGCCTTGGACACTGCCAGGGATGCAGGGACAGCCACAGCTGCTCTGGGCAAGAGATGCTCCAGTCCCAGGTGCCCCCAGGGAGCCAGAGCCAAGAACCCCATCCCCAGTCACTCCTGCAAACAGAAAAGGAGAAAACCTTGCACAGCAGCTTATGTTTTTCTATAAGCAGCTTATGTTTCTGCATAAAACGTAGTGAATTTATCCCATCTACAGCTTTTCTTCCTGTTTTCCAAATAATTAAAAGAGCAGCTTAAAAGCAGGGTTTTTTGGCATTAAAAATATTTGCACTATCCCAACCAGAAAAGCAAAATATGACTTTCCCAGGGCTGTGCTGATTTAGCAAAGCTTATAAATAACCCTGGGCTTCCAGCTATTGCCATTGGAAAAAAAGAAATAGACAAAAGGAAAAGACTATCATGTTCACAAATAAACATCACTGTTTCTAAGCTAAATTTCTACAATAATCAATATTCTACATTAGCAATCATCTAGGACAGCAAGACAAAGGCACCTATTGCAAATATTCTATTTACTATCAAAATATTTCTTCCTCTGTGCAATGGAATGTTTCACGTGAAAACAAATCTTTCTTGATTACTTTTCTCATAAAAAGGTATTAGAAATGTGAAGCCACTAGTACACAAAAAAAATCAGTCTGTGAGATGCAGGGGACAGGAAAGAGATGGAGCCACCCAAGTGAAAATATGGCCAAAATACTGTCATTCCAGTGACACCCTCCCACTGGGAGAGTGGGAAAACCCACTCTTCAATATGCTGAATAAAACTAGAGGAACTTAAAAATAGCAGTGGACCCACAAGTCTTTCAAAGATTTCTCCCTTTCTTGCTCCTATGCAACTAGAAAGGTTCTTCATGAAATCACAGAGTTATTAAGGTTGGAAAAGACCTCCAAAATCAAGCCCAACGTTCCACCACTATCCCAGAACCCACCCGACCCCTGTCCCCAGGTGCCACATCCACACATCTTCCGAACACTTTAAGGGATGTGACTCCACCACTGCTCTGGGCAGCCTGTGCCAATGTCTGACCACGCTTTCAGCAAAGAGATTTCCCCAACATCCAGTGGGAGAGGCTCACACGGCACAACTTGAGGCTGTGTCCCCTTGTCCTGTCCTTGTTCCCTGGGAGCAGAGCCCGACTTCCCCCTGCCTGCACTCTCCTGTCAGGGAGCTGTGGAGAGCCAGAGGGTCCTCCCTCCTTTTCCTACTCACATGCCACCAAAAGAGTCTTTTTGAGCACCATTTATTTCAGAGGCAAAAGGAAGCTGCATTTTCTCCCATGTCTGACTCGTGGCTGCCCTGGGGCTCTGCCCAGCCCCGAGCCCCGCGCTGCCCCCGCCCCGTGATACTCACAGTGCTGTACACAGCCGAGACGGTCGGAGTGAAGATCCGATCCTCCAGGGGCTGCTGGACAGGACCTCGGGGGATTCTGAAACACAGCCAGTCAAGGAAAGCAGCGTGGAAGGCAGGGCGGTGCCTGGGGACCCCGCCAGGGACACCCCACCCCGGACCCACAGCCTGGCAGCTCCGACCCCTGGGATCTGCTGGGCTCCAGGGGCAGCTGTCCCACCCTAGGAACGAGGGAACCAACGCAAACTCGTCTCCGAATAATCCACAAAACCTTGGGCCTGTGGAGAGTGTCCCCCAGCTCTGCTTCTGTTTGCAAGGGAAAGAGCCCCGGAGGCAGAAGCCCTCGGCGTTCAGCGGCAAAGCCTGCGGGTCAGCAGGGCACTGCCGGACAATGGCAGCTCCTGTTCTGCCAACCACGCAGCAATCCTGCTGGAATTGTTTCCTTGTTCGCCTCTCTTCACCCAGTGACTCCCTTCCTCATCCGCCCACCAAAAGAAAGGGCTGGCAGAGGGATGGGAGGTTTTGAGAAGCTGCTGCAGGGTGACTTAAAGGCAAATTGCAAGGGTTTTCTTAATTGTAAAGGTATTGTGGAAATCTAAGGAGGGGGGAAAAAGGGAAAAAACCTATGCACAAAAAACCTAGGCACAAAAACCCCACAACAGAATCTGGTTTATTTGTGGAATAAAATGGGGGGATGCAGGGATCCAAAAGACTAAAAAAGCCTGACTTGGGTAAAACCTTGTGGCCTCACACAGACCTAGACAATTACCCAGAGCCCACTGTCATGGAAAAGGCACTTGCTGAAAAATTTTCCTAAATGCCACAATCGAATTTCACCTTTTTGCTGTTTATATTTTACACACCAAAATTTCATGGGAAATGAGAACAGCTGGAATGACTGAGGTTCTTGTACATATGGAAGAACACAGACCTCACTTGTTAACATACTTAAAAAAAAAGTCATTAAAACACTTCTTAATTTTATTCTAACAAGGAAAAACACATTGCTAAGTTAAATTCTGAGCTCAGATTAGTTTGAATCAAGATTTCAAGAGACTCTGCACCCCAGGTTTGATGCCCAGATTAATGCTGCTGCCCAAAGCTTTGCAGGGACCAACACCACAGTGACAGGACAGACCCTGCTGGCACTGACACAACTCAACAGCCACGCCAAGCTCCACAACCCCAACCATTCCCCTTCAAATGGACCAAATGTTAAGGCTGAGGTAAGGACTGCTCAGACACAACCTGCTCTGCCCCTGCCCACTGCTCACAGCACGTCCCAGCTGGGTCAGCTCCTCCTCCAGCAGCACTGAGGCAAATTCACAGCATCAGACACACACAGACAGAGTTAAATTTACAACCTGCTCTGCTCTGCCTCTGAACTTGTCACTAAAAAGCTCCTCCTCACCAAAGAGGCTCAGAAGTTGCCCTAAAACGTCTCTGTTTTGTTATACAGTCAGTGTTTGAGCACCAAACGCAGTAAAAATCTCCTTGATGGGATTAGGCTGGGAAGAGCCCAGCCCTGCCCTTCACAACACCTCTGCAGGGAGGCCCCAGCCTGTCACCGTGGCAGGTGACAGGGGACAGCCCAGGGCCACCTCCAGGGCAGCAGAACCAGGAAGAGGATCTGGTCCCACGGGTGCCCAGGCTGGTGCTCATTCACCCTACATCTCTTTTTGCCTTTTTTAATGATGGCAAGAATTCGTTAGCAGGGTCTAAAGCTCATCTGCACTTAGCTCATCTGCCAGCTCAGGCCCAAGTGGTGTCATTGGATAAACAGAGAGGTTTTTAACAACCAAATGAGATTTAAAACTCTGACTCAGCCAAACAACAGTAAGATTTGTCACAAACTTCAACAGAGTCACTCCCAGCCTTCATCCCAAGGATCTTGCATTCACCCCCAAATTTTGGAAAACAACAACAAAAAAGCCAAGGACAGAAGGATTAAAAACATACTGGAAGATGGAATGGAAACTCAAATTTCCTGCTGTAGCACCACTCCCTCTCCCCAAGAGCATCCCTGTGACAGGGATGACAGCCCGAGGCCCAGGATGGAGCTGCCCCCCTTGTGTCACAGCTGAGATTTCCCTCCTCCAGGCACTCCTGACAATTCACTGAAGCAATCTCTGCTTCAAAAAGGATCATTCCTGAGTTTGGAAAAACAGTTTCATCCCTGACAAGGTTGGGATTTATTTTCTTATTTTAGAACTTATATAAGTCAGGAGGAAATAATCTCCTTTGAGCAACTGCTCTTTTTGCACCCAGGAAGAGCTGCCTGAAGGAAGGAGCAGTTTAGATGGATTTGCAGAGTTTGGAGTCACTAATATCTCTCCAAGGAAGGGATGACTCTCATCAGATCCAGAAGAAACCTTTTAAGTCCTTTTTTCAAAAGGATTTGACCTGGACACAAGACTGACAGCAACAAAATGCCTCAAATTCCACTAAGCCTTAATGAAATAATGGTTGGAGAAAGTGATTATTTCCAGCATCCAACTTGTGGCATCCACAGACCGACTCTCTGCAAAGAAGTTGGGCAGGTGGGGCTGGACTAGTGGAGAGATTCCAGCTTCCCTGAAAGGAGCTGGGCAAGTGGAAAGGCTCCTGGTTCCCACCAAGCCTCTTGGAGCTTGTTCCTGCTCCCCAGTGGAAATCACCACCTTCCCTCTCCCTCCACCTGCCAAAGGAGCCTGCCCTGGGACAAGAGCTGCTGTTACCGGGGGAGAAACGAGCCAGCGTGACAGCAAAGTCCATGACGACTTGTGCTGACGAGGCTCTTCTAGGAAAGGGTTAAGTGACAGCATGGGTTCTCCACCAAGGGAGGTGAACAGTTCAGGGCAGGCAGGTGGGAAGCAGAACCTCATCCAGCAGCATCATTCCATCCACATGCACATCCACACCAACACCACCCCCAGGGCACTCATTCATCTGCTCTCACACGCAGATTTTGGTGCCACTGGGGCTGCACATCTCAAAATGCAGCACAAGCCTTGGGATCACTGCTTTCAGGCTGCCCCAGCACAGCCAAGCAAGTGCAGGAGTGAGAGTGCAGCCAGCCCAGCCTCGCTGCAGTGCTGGATTCACCACAGCCAGGAACACCAGGATGCCCTGAGTAATTCAGGCAGCTCCTCTGTGTTACTGCCCTGCCGTGCTGAGATCCAATTCAGGAGCACCCTGTGCCCTCCCTCTTCCTCCCCCTCCTCCTCCCCTATATCCTGCCACCCACATCACTGATTTGGGCAACTATGCTCTGAAACCATCCAGGAGGGTGGGAAGGGAGAGGGAGCAGGGGAAAAGCAAAGAAAATCCAAACCTCACACAGTTTTCACAGCTCCTTCCCCAGGGAGAAAAGACGAGGAGAGCAAAGAAGCAGAAGAGCAGGAGTAAGGAGACCCTGTTAAATCCAAGAAGAACCTCTTAAAGCACCAGCAGTTGGTAAAGTGGAACTGCAACCTCTGCTTTATTTGTGTCAGGCTGAACAACTAACTCCTCAGAGCTCTCCCTGCTCCATCAGCATCATACCAGGATCTGGGAGAAGGATGACAACCCTGGCAGTACCAGTGCTGGATTCTCCTCGTCGCTGTTCAGGGCTCATTAACTCATGAAATATATATTTAAAATCTCACCTAAGTGAGATACTTCTGACAGATTCATAAATGCAGGCACAGATGCAATGGGTGTTCCACCTAGTCCCCATCTGGCTGCAGCAGTGATTACAAGCTGGGGAATTTCGGGAGCTATTATAGACCCAGTGGGAGAAGGAATGCTGGCTGGAAACCACACTGAATTTTTCTGGAAACCAAATATCTCCCTAAGAAGAGGAGGATCTCTGTTAATTAGACAGCCATGGCCACACTGTGAGGAGAGGGGAATATGTGACTGCTCTGTAAAGTGATTAAGTAAAAAAAATCCAGCCTGGAGCTGCTGGAGCAATCAGTGACACTGCCAAATGCTGAGTGAAATGACAGTCAGCAGGAATTTCTAGCAGAAATCTCCTCCTCCTATCACATTTCTCTGCTTGTTCTAATCATACTACAGAGCTACGATTCTGTGAGATTTCTGTGCGCTGTTACAGACCTGGAAACACACACCAAAACCAGCCCTTCCAGCAGGAATTTGTACAGCTTTCTCTGCTCCACCGAGATTGCAGGAAGACAGAGAGAACATTATTCCATTTTCTCCCAAAATGGATTCATTTTCCCTCAAATGGTGCTTTTCACCTAAGCTCATTTCAGCAACTAGCAACCATTTTACCCCAAGCACTGCTGACCTCTCCTCCCCTTCCAGCTCACAGCTCCGAGGAAGCACCTCTTCCCAGGAATAAAAATACCCGTGGTACTCACAGGCACCTATGCAAACACCTTACACAAAACCATTCCAGAACTCCTGATTTTCATCCCTGCCCAGAAATGGAGCCAGTCTCCCACTGGCTTCCCCAGGGTTATGTAATCCCCACACGTGTCCCCACTTGTACTGAAACTGTGCATTAAAAATCCCAAGGAAAAACCGTCAAGCAAGATTACAGAAGGGCAAGAAACCACATAAAATTTGAGCATTTCTTTCAGCTTTTTGGAGCAAGGAATCTATAAAACCCAAGCATGCACGGATGTGACAGCAGGGAGCTTTCCAGGAGTGTGTTTCTCCTCTGCAGCCTCTTCTCTATTCACCATGCAATTAAAATGCAGGAGGTGAACATCCCAACAGCAGCAACACTTCATTGAGCCGGCTGGGTAACACAAGGTTCTGGAAAGGTTCAAAGGGAAAAGCTCTGCCAGTCACAGCAGCTGGAACTTCCCTGGCATCACCCCATCCTCCCCAGCTCCACCATCCTCCACTCGCAGGGCCGAGCCTTTTGTACGGCGCGCTCAGTCCTACCTGGCAGCGAGCTCCAGCAGTGAGATCCAGGGAGCTCTGGCAGGGAGATTTCGGAGAGCTCTGTCAGGGAGATCCTGGAGAGCTCTGGCCGTGAGCCGGCTCAGCACCGTGTCCTCTCCCCGCATCCATCAGCGAAGCCCATGGCCACATCCCCTCACAGCCACATCCCATCCGTGCCACGCCGGGCTGGCTCCGGAGCTCTTC